GTGAACTAGGTGAGTTAGATTTGATGACTTTTATGAAGAAAGTACCAGKAAAACTTTTAGAATAGAGGTTATATGACTGTTGAACCAAATCTGGCCTTCCAGTTGCTTTTGTAAGTAAAGTTTTATTAGAACAAATAAGTTTACTTAAACTTACAGATTTATATAATGAGAATGGCTGCTTTCTTCGTATTATAAGGACAGAATGGAGTGTTWGGCTGAAAAGCATGAAGTATTTACTCTTACTCTCTGGAAATTACATTTACAGAATGAATTTGCCTATCCTTTCTTTTTATTCCATCAGTTAATGTTAAAAATCAGTTTATGTTAGCTCATAATCTTCTTTTGACTTATAATGTTACTTAAAATTTAAAATTCCTCAAAAGATCTCTGCCTGTCCCACTCCATATTTCAATGTTAGTTTTTTTCCTCTCTCATCTTTTCTTTCATTCAGCTCACCCATTCTACTTATCTGAACCTGCCTTCTCATGGTTCCTCACACCAACCACACCCCTACCTGAGGACATTTGCAATTACTGTTCTTTCCTTCTAGAACATTCTTCCTCCACAAGATGGCCCCATGGTTCCTCCCTTTTTGCCTTTAAGTACCTCCTCAAATATCACCAAATCAGAAAGTATTTTTTTTTCCTGACCACATATAAAACTAGACCTTAAATTACCCCTGGGCATACTGTTTTCTCTCCTTCTTTATTTGTGTGAATAACATTTATCTCCCTCTTACATACTACGCATTGGTTTCATCTGTCCACTCTTGCCAGAATATAAGCTCCTTCAGAGCAAGACTTTCATCACTTTTGTTTGTATCCTCAGGGTCAGAAAAATATTAAGTGCTAAAATTATGAATAGATAAGTCAGCCTTTTCAGCCCACATAGTTAAATCTTCCTCAGGATAGATCTAGGTGCTCTGGAGGTCTTTTGCTAAAGTGTATTTTGGTGGAGTCGAAAGCTGTGATTATTTCAGTCTTTGCTCCAACATCCCTATAATGGTTACAGAAACATTCCTCAGAATGTTTTGGTCTGGATTGTTGGCCAATAAGAACAAGGTCTACACACTGAGATTTAATAACAGTGTCTGACCCCATAGTCCTTTAGCCTGTAGTCCCTGAAAATTTGTTGTTCTTGTTAGCATTTTCATGACACAYGTGCTGGGTATTGACAATAACTTTATGTATCACCTGAAAGTGGACCCTTCCCAACACAGCCGTGGGTGACTGCGACCTGGCAAGAGACCCCAGGGACAAGGCACTCGGATGCCCAGCCCGCACAAACTGCCCCTAGCTTTGTCTTGTCAAATCCTATGTTTCCTTCAAAATTCAATTTACACAGGAGAATTCTAAGACACCATGCTTCCCACCCACCCCTTTTTTCCAGACCTTGTCAAGAATATTCCTCCTTGATCCCTCCATGATTAGAATTACCATTGCAACTGCAGAGCATAGTATGGAAAGCCAGGGGAACAGCCATTGGCTTCCTTTGGCGTCGGGAACTCTGTCCAAGGTGCTGAGCTGGCAGTGCCTGGCTTGGAGCTGAAGCTTTACAATTGCAGTCCCTGTTCCTGGGCTCTCCCAGGGCCTGGCTCCATGCTCAGCGTGTCACGTGCTTCTCTCACTCTGGCTTCCCATCCACCCCGGGAGGTAGGTGCTGGGTACCCAGCACTGGCTTCTTTCCTGTTTTTTTTTTCCAGAAACTACACAGATGACAAGCCCTGGGCCTGTAGCCGGTGAGCTTCACAAAGACTGTGAAGGCTGCTAAAAAAAAAAAAAAAAAGAAAAAAAAAAGAAAAGAAAAAAAGAAGAGAGAGAGGAAAAAAGGAATTGAGTCATGGCCTTGTAGTTTAGTGGGGATGGCATTATCCCTGTGTGTCCAAAGTGGTTTTACTATTTTTTATACCTTCTCTCTACATATTTCCCTTAAATGTGATTTAAGGGACAGAATATTTATGATACCATTCAATTCCTAGCTCTATCACTAACTAGTTGGGTGACCTTTAGCAAGTTACTTAAGTTCTTTGTGTATTAATACTAAATAAATATTAATTCTGAGGAACATTGTCATATTCATATGAAAAAGGACAAACCAAAAGTTTAATTTATACAATACTTATAATATACATAACTATATAAATGTAGATATTTTTATGTATGCTGATATATGTGTATACACACATAAAATTTTCATTTCATGGTATATAATTTTATAAATTTCAGGAATAAGCTGTTAAGGAAAGATTCTTTTTCTCAGATTTATTTGGTGATTCTCACTGCCTCCCATTGGCCCTCCGTGGCTGACTAACAATTTACTCCATTACTTGGTGTCTTAAAACAACATTATCTTACAGTTTCTGAGGATGGGGAACCTGGGTGCCTTGACCCCGGGTCTCTTGCTATGCTGCAGTCACCATGGCTGGCTGCTTTCTGTTCAAGCAGAGCTGTCATGAAGACTCAGCTCCACATGAGGTCCCAGGTCCTCAGAAGAGGCCGACTGGAAGCTTCCCTGGGAGACCCGCTCTGCAGATCTCTCCAGAGTATCTTAGAACATGTCATGAACGAGGGAGAGAGAGCCATGTTGAAGTGGTAGTGTTTTGTAACCTAATCATGAAAGCGACATTTCATCATTTTCATCTTCTGTTTATAGGAAGCCAGTTTCTGGGTCCTAGGATCATTGGGTCTTATGTCACAAGCCACCTGCCCCACCTGTAAAATTCTCAACTGGCTGTCAAAGGTTCTCCCGACAGCTGGTCAGCCCACTTGTTAGATCCTGTCCCTTTTGGACCCCTTCTCCGTATTCCTCCTCTTCTTCCGTGCTCTTCCCACGACACATTCCATGTTCCCTCCTCTCATGGGGCTCCTACTCTTTCCTTCAGGTGTTTGGAATTTGTATAAATGCTCTGCAGACTTTGAACTTGGAGTTTACACATGATCTCTCTGAAGTTTTCCCTAGAGGCCAGAGTGGTCCATGCTCTACCTCATCCTGTAGTCCTTGATTTACAATAAAATGGAAATGTTTTTCTTCCCTGACAGACTGTGAGCTGAGGGCCATCTCCTCCCCATAGGTGCCCCTCAGGGTTTCCCTAAGTGCAGTCGACTAAGCACCTAAGATATGCAGGTACTGCGTCRCCTGATCATTTGAACCACATTAAGAATTATGGACAAAGATTCCTTATGCAGACAGCCCAGGAGCTCTGCGGTTTGGAAATGTATTCTAACATTAAAGCCTCTTTCAGACTCATCTCCTGTGAGTCAGGGGTCAGACTCTACCACTGAATTACCAGGGCATATTCCGGCCCGATTCCCACCCTGTTCTACTTTTTCTTGCCCCGTGGCCCTGTCTTCATCTGTCTCTCCCATGCTGTGGCAGRGAAGAGAGACCTTTTCATTAAACTCTGGTTCTGTCATTTATCTAGGCTGACCTTACGGCCCTTTWGACTCGTCTGCATTTCTCAAGGGACAGAGAGTCTGTAACTCAGGCAGCCCTGTGAAGCCGGTCGCTCTGGGGGAGCTTCGTCTTTGCTAGAACAGCCGACTGTTATTTAAGCAGAAGCAACCTGAACTGAGTCCCATTAAATTTGTGCTTGTCTTCAGTTTGTGGGATCTGTGTTCACCGTCTGTGCACATTTAATGATTTACATGTACCTACTTGGGAATTTGTGAGGAAATAAAGTTATAAAACAATAGTTTACATTGGATTAGCGCCTTGTAGATTCCAAAGGTATTTTCATACCCTATCTTTCATGCAATTCTGCTCCAGCGGGAGAAAATAGATACTACTAATTCATATTTATAGAAGAAGAAACGTAGGGATGGAGAAGGGGCATGATTTGCACAATATTGAGAGACATAATTTGCAAGGAGCAGAAGAAGACTTGGATTCCCAAGTTCGGTGCTTCTCCATCTTGATCTCTATAATTAGTGAAGGAAAAACCGAAATGTCTCCACAAGAGCACAGCTTCATTTCCTCCAAGAAGTAAGCGTTCAGGGAATTCATGTTAAAATTTAGTATTCAAGTGAGCTGTGGGCTCAATGTTTGATTTTTGAACTATCTCACAAAAGATCTCAGGCTGTTTTGTGTCTTAGATTCTGCCCATCCTTATGCAATCCACCTGTGCCCTCATCTCCTTCCCTTCTTTTCGTCCCTCCGTTTGCTAATTTATTCATCCACTATGAATTCTGCCATGACACAGGCAGAATTCCATCTAGATGGAATCCTAGAAGATTCCATCTCTGTAATGTCGTTCACAGTCTAGTTAGAGAGACAGGYGAGCAACTAGACAGCAGTGGGAAAGTAGTTCTTGTGAGATGAACTAGAAATGGATAATAGTCCCCTTTCACGGGGCTACTGTGATAACTAGGTCTGAAATGAGAGCTGCCATCCTGGTGAACTATAAAGTACCATGAAAATCATTATCACAATCATTATTATCAGATGATGCTGATGAGCCAGGCACCATGGCACAAGCCTGTAATCCCGGCGGCTCAGGAAGCTGAGGCARGAGGATCATGAGTTCAATGCCAGCCTCAGCAATGGTGAGGGGCTAAACAATTTAGTGAGACCCTGTCTCTAAATAAGATATAAAATAGGGCTGGGGATATGGCTCAGTGATCAAGTGCCCCTGACTTCAATCCACAGTACCAAAAAAAAAAAAATGCTGATGATAATGATTAATGATGGTTTCTCTTTTTTTCCCCCTTCAGTTTTCCACCCATAAGGTAGTAAACGTGACTTCTGACTTTGTTTCCTTGATGCTCTGTGAGCAACTTGAAGGTGTGACTGTCTATTTGGTTCAGTATCCCGGTGCTGAGAGTAGTACTTGATAAATATTTGCTGACTAAAGAGGACTCAAAATTCTAGATCAAAGAGTCATTTGAGAAATGTTAAAATTATAGACAGTCTCACCTAAAGAGAGGCTTGGAAGGGTTGGTTGGGTGGGCTTTGGCTCGAGAGTAGAAATGGTCAATTGAGTGTTGCTCCTCTCTCCTTCCCAGGGAGTTTGCCCGTTGGAAGGTGAGGAACACAGCCATTGAGAGGAGAGATCTGGTTCGTCATCCAGTACCCCTCATGCCAGAGTTTCAAAGGAGCATCCGTCTGCTTGGCAGGAGACCCACCACTCAGCAGTTCATCGACACCATCATCAAAAAGTACGGCACGCACCTCCTCATCTCTGCCACATTGGGAGGTAGGTCAGCAGCCGCTGGGCCTCGGTCCTGTCATGCCTTTGGGTCTGGGTTGGACGTGAGAGTGGAGTGCCCTGGAGGGAAAGCCTTCTTAGCTCTGTGCTGCTGTGCATCCCTGAAAGGCATGTATGGCAGAGACACCAAASTGTCTTGTTTGTTGTGGTTCTACGTCAGCAGATAATTCCCTTCTATGGGAGTCTAGTCTGGGTTTACTAACTTTTGTAAAAATATTGTTTAACCTTGGAATTGTCTCAGTTTGTCAGGAATGCTTTTTTTTTTTTCTGATAATTATCTTCAGTCCTCTGAAATGGGGTCTGATCCGGGGAAGAAATTAAATTTCAGATATTGTTTAGGGAATTGCTTTTGTTTATATAAGTCCACTTTAGGGACTCATAACTGGAAGTGATCGTTTTAAAAATGGGCTGTATCATTTGTGTCTCGTATGGGCTTGGAATGGGTTAACAGGAAAGTAGGCTAATTGCTTTACCCAGTTCAGTCTTCCCCATCCCTGCCCATCAGGTCCAATCCATCTTTGAGGGAATGAGGAAACAGAGCCGTATAAAAGGAAGGAAATTGATGCAAAAACCATGGGAAATGGTACAGACGAGGCCATTTAGATCCTGACTGGCCTCGCCTGCATGCATCAGTTGATATTATGAGTTACAATCCCTCAGGCATCTGTTTCTATCCATGGTGAATGGGACCACTGAACCACCTTGATGGTACAACACTGTGCTACCTGCTCACAGAGATGATATGATTCATTTAGTCCCAGCCCTCGCCAGGTAAAGAGATGGGTGTATTAACAGAGGAGGGGTGGACACGGTTGTAATGTGGATAGAGCACTACGAACTCAAGCCATCAGTCCAAACTTCATGGTGGAAAGTGGTGGTTTAGTTGAACAGGAGCTTGTTAGGTAAAGGAAGGTGGACGCACTTTCTAGGCTGAGCATACAGCACCCTTTGGAGGAAGGCAAGATCAGTCATTTGATAATGTGGRTAGAAATGTTGATTGGGCAAATTCATTCATTCTCGTTGCACCATAGACACCATATACTGTGTTTCTCTAAACTTCAATTTAGTCATAACATTTTCATTTTATAAGCAAGGAAAACCAGAAAGAGGTGTAGCAAAAAAGTGGGAAAAGTTAAGTTTTTAACTTAGGGTTTTCCAGTCTCTAAGCTTACAGTATTTTTATCCACCTAATACCAATTATCTCCTTTACTAACCTGCTTACCCTCCAATCTACCCACCCACTTCAACAATGACCCAATTAGCAGATATTTGTTGTCTGTTTTTAGACATTAAATTAAGTAGGACTTGGTGAAATAATTCATATGAATTCTACTTTAACATATAGTGACAATGAATTAATTTCTGTGCCGATTGTGACATCAATCTGTACCCTTTCCTTTGAATATCTTCCACCTCCCCTTTCACTTGGAAAAAAAAATCATCATTGCAACTAATTCAATTCTTCCATTAAAAGCTGTGCTCTGGTCCTARTGCCTGGAAATCCCATGTAGCAAAGACTTTTCTTTCTCAGTGAAATATATTTTTAATTTCTCCAAGGCGAGGTGGTAAATTATTCACAGAGCCTTGTTCCTCCACTGTTTTTACAACACAACATTTTAAAATATGCAAAGCTTCGGATTGAAATCTGGTGTCGGACAGCAGGCCCTAAACGTTCCCTCAGCCCTTGCCATGGAAGAGTGGAGGGAAGGAAAAGGGTTTACTGTTGAATGAATACTGTGTGCCAAAAATCCTGTGAGGTCCTTCTCATATCATCCTTTAATTCATTTATGCATGGAAAATTACTTCTTAAGGACCTCCTTATGCAAAGGGACAGAAGGGGTGTGGGAAGTTGTAGTGAGTGAAGGGGCCAGGATTTTAATTTCCTGGGTTCCAGTTCTGGCTCTTGCTTTGCCCAGCTTGGTGTTGCCTCTACCAATAACTCAGTTCTCTGAGGCTCCTTTTTTATAAGTAGTCATAAAAATATTACTTGATGTAAATTTCAAGGATTAAACATAATGATGCATTAAATGTGGTTAGCATTCTTACTATGATTGTCTTATCTGGACTAAGGAACTTGCAGATCCAGGATTAAAGCCCAGTCTTGGCACTCACTAAGTGAGTGGGAGGCATTCAGAAATTCACTTTCTTGTCTGAATATCAGTTTCCCCATCTACATACGAGGAAGTGCAGAAATGTTATTTAATCATAGTTTTTTCCCCCAAGAACACCATAATCATTTAGCATAAATGCCRTGATGAACTCTTTGAGGTGTCAAGTCAGTTCCTAAGGGCATCATCAARCAACGGAAGATGACTCTTAGACTGTCACATACATGACAAGTAAATGTGTGTGTTTGGCTTTTTAGAGAAGTGAAGGAARGAGGAAAGGGGGTGGGAATGAGGAAGCGGAGCTGGTGGTGGGGTCCAACAGCTTGGACATTTTCTTGAGATCTCCACATTTTTTTTTTTGGTACCCTCTGTTAAATTCATAAAATGACCTGGTGGAAAGTGGTAAAGAGACAAATTCCACACCTGGAACAACAAACAGGGATAGTAATTTTCCTTTGTTCCTCTGAATATGGAACTTGGGGTCAAAGGAAACACATTGAAGATGTTTGTGTGTGTGTGTGTGTGTGACATATGTGACTAAGCTTACCAGCATGCATGGAAGTACACACCTATGTGCCCAGAAAGATGTTCTGAAATGCCTRTCTATGCTTGGGTGTAAGCACATTTATATGTGCATGCACACATTGCACACATATACATATGGGTGAAATGTGTGTGTGTGTGTTTTTACATGTACATGAATCATGTGTATTGCATGAATGTCATTTTTTATAGGAAGCTTCATGATTCTTATCCATTTGTGAATGTTAGTGTGTGTGCGTTCATTATTTCCCACACTGTGTTTTGGGACATCTTCCCTTGGCTAATCAGAAGGCAGAGAATAAAATCACAGGGGGTCAGAAGGAACGGAAGAGGGATATCCTAGAAGACTGAAGTCCAGTCAGCCCTGTTCCCCATCTGAGAACAACACCTTCGATTGACCCAGAGGTAAACGGATCAAATCCCACTTCTTCTCCCATCTTGTGTATCTGATCCTACTTTRCTCTCTTCTGTAAGAAGGTGCTACAGAGTGAGGCAAAGCTCCCTGGAGGACAGGAAGGCTGAGCAAAGGCCTTTGTGGGGTGAAGAGGCAATTTACAGGAATGCCCAAGTGGCAGAGTAACTCCAAACAGAACATTCTCTTAATAAACGAGAAATTAAGTCTTAATAATGCAGCAAGAAGTCCATTAACCCCTCTTGATCTAAGGATTGCTTCTGCCAGTTCTCAGTCCAGAGGGAACTGGGCTTGTTTCACCTTCTGCTTTGTGGGCCCCTAAGAGAGCCTGAACTGGCAATTGGAATATTTATTTCCTCTGCCTTGTGACTCTGATTCCCAACATATTACTTAACCATTTACTTCTCCAGGCATCTATCTATGCATGTATCTGTTTAGTCATCCATCCATCCATCTGTCCATCCATCCATCCATCCACCCATCCATCAGTTTATCCATCAAATGATAACTGAATATCTGCTTTTCATCAGAACCTAGGAGAAGATTGAGAAACATTAAAAAGATGAAATGGATATTACACTTTACCCCACTTCACCAACCATCATTCCTGGAACTCAAAGTATAATTGGATGTAAAGTCATTTTGAAGTCAAATCTATTAGGCTCCTTTGGTGTTCAAAGAACAGAACGTTATGCCCTCATGTGTAACAGAAGTCCACGTGAACTGGAGTGTCTTTGAATTCAAGTCAAGTCTAGGCATGTGGAGCCTAGAGATGAACTTGGATGATCATGGGTCTTCCTGTTGGGAGGTGTCAGTCTAGTTGTAGAGGCAGATTTGTTAGTCAATCAACATGGTACAAGTAGGTCCACTTCTGTGTCCATTTATTCATCTGTTGGCTTCCAATCATTTCTTAAGCACATAATGCATGCCCATATTGTGCTAGGTAATGCCACAGGGATGGGAAAAGACTCTCACCTGCTCCCTGACCTCAAAGTATTTCTGCTTTAGTAGGGGAATCCAGAAATCTCCAGAAGGTAAGATACGTGACATATTGGAGAAATACAGGGTATCATGAGGACATGCCTTATAAGAGTTACTCAGTTCAAGAAAAGAGTAGAAGATAGTTAGAGGGATCCCCAGAAGTAGTGCTGTGTTAGGTAACATAGGGATGTGTAGAAATTAGCCAGGAGAAGAACAGAAGGGCAGAGTCCCAACAATGACAGAAAATGGGGCACATCTGTATGGGAGAGAGCATACCCAGAAAGCAGTGAGGATATAGCTAGAGAGACCAGCTCATCAGAGCCTGGTGACCCACGTGATCTACAGAGATGTGGGCCGCCCTTCTTTGGTCTTCATTCTACTATCTGCCTCCCCCTTCCCTGGCTCTTCACCTGCTGTATTGAAATGATCGCCGTCCGCCTCTGTCTCCTTCCTCCACCACTGGCCAATAGCAGCAGAATGCAGTCCTCAAGTGAGAGCTGCATATGCCACTGTAATTTTTTTTCTTTCTTTTTTTTTTTTTGCATTTTTAGAAAGAAAGAGGAAAAAAAGGAGAAATCAATTTAATAATATATTTAACATAACATATCCAAAATATTACCATTTCAACRTGCAATYGAGAGAACAAATTGCTAAGGGAAGATTTTACTTTTTTTCGTAYTCAATCTTGGTTTGCAGTTACACTCGCAGCACATGCCAGTGTCTTATTCATTTGTCACCCCAAGGCCTGCCAAAATGCTCAGTGCAGGCACACGAAGCCTAACCAAAGGACATGCTGAACAATGACGAAAAGAAACTGACTCCTTCCCTCTGGATTCAGGGTGTGGCTCGGGATGCTAGTCCTCTTTGAACAGGTAGAGCGGAGTGGAAATGGGCGTGCCAGGGAAGGAGGGGTGAGCAAGAGAAAGTGACAGTGGAATGGGCCAGAAATCAGGATAYGATTTCAGAAGTCAGACAGGATAGAATTCCCTCTGCAAGCTGATGGCTTTTTTTCTTCTTCAACTTGAAAAGTCATCAGCATTCTACAGACGCTGCAGTTGTCATAGACACCAGGTTTGGTTTCTGACGATGTACTGACAGGTTTTGTTCTCTAAATATTTTATTTTTATGAATGAATTACATGTATGTATAAATATCATACAACCATCAGCTTGCGGTTATCAAATCACGGCAGCTAACACTGCCACAGTGCTTACTATGTGCCAGGTAGGGTTGGAGTACTTTATCTAACTAACTAACCTAATCCTGGAGACAACACTATGAGGTAAGTATGGTCCATATTACAACTTTACACATGAAGAAATGGAAGCAGAGATGTTAGCTCAACTATTTCAGGTCAAGGAAGACTAGCTCTGTGACCGTAACTATCACTAATAATCAATTTTCTTTCTTTGTCTCTCCTTCCTTCCATCTGTCCTTCTTTCCTTCCTTCCTTCCTTCCTTCCTTCCTTCCTTCCTTCCTTCCTTCCTTCCTTCCTTCCTTCCTTCCTTTTTCCTTCCTTTTTTCCTTCTCTCCTTTCTTTCTACTTACACCCTTTCTTTATTCCTTCCTTTTTTCTTTTTTTTTTTTTTTGTGGTGGAGATTGCACCCAGGGCCTTGTGCATGCTAATCCCATGTTCTGCCACTGAGCTACACTCCCAGTCCCATACCAATTGATTTTCAAATACTACAATGAATTGGACATTTTTCTAAACACTTATTAACTAATTTATTCTTTTTAGTAATCCTGTGGGAGTGGGTGCTCTTTTCACCCAATATTGCTAGTGAATAAACTGAGAAACAGAGAAGAGAAAAATTGTGCCCACGCTGGCAATGTTATCAGAAAGTGGAAGTAGTGGTATGCAGAAGTCCATTTGGTGGAAATCTGTAGAGCTTCCTTCCTAATGTGTCACCAAGAGATCTCATTATCCAAAAGAAAAGTCACCATAGCTTAGCAGTGTTACTAATGCGTGCATGCATTTCCAAGGAAAACTTTATGGAGAAAAATCTATAAATTTGTGTATTCATGTCTACATAGTTATATCTGTCTTCCATCCATTCATTCTTCTGTCCATTCAAATATCTATCTGTCCATCCACCTTCTCTTTGATCTAAGTATCTATTTTCCTTCCTTTCTGTATCAAACTTTCTGATCATCCCTCATCCCCCAAATGTGACCCTTTTCTCTTTTGTACTCTCAGAAGTACAGTGCCTGGCATATGGTAGGTACTTAAAATATGTATTGAGTGAATGAAAGAAAAAGATGAACTAACTATTGATGTCTACTTCCCACTACTATGTGGAAAGCACTGTGCTGTGTGTCAGGATAAAGCCACTGCTGATACCTTCACAGAGTTGGAAGTTCAGTTTTCCCTCTCTCTATGGGGACACAGTTTACCCTATTTCTAGTTCTAGCTCTGTGTCTCTCTCTAGATACCTCTGAATTTCTATGTCTTATCTACTTATATGTGTGTCTATCTCTCTATCCATACACTTGTTTATCTAGAATGCTATGGAGCAGGAGAATTTAAGGAGAGAGAGAGAGAGAGAGAGAGAGAGAGAGAGAGAGAGAGGGAGGAAGGGTTGAAGGAAGGGAGGAGGGAAGATGAGGAAAGGAGGAACGGAAAGACAGTGAAGAAACAAAGACAGGGAGGAAAGGGAAAGGAATGTCTATGCCAAATCCACCATTTTACAAAAGAAACTGAGCTTTCTTGGAAGAAGGGGTGGTGGTGATGTTGTGAGATGAGGCTGGTGAGAAGTACGGAGTGGATCAGTGGGGATTGGATTCAGTGGCTGAGGGTGTTTCAGTGACCCTTGTCCTGATGGAGCTTGCTGCATGCTGTCACCTTGGGACTGCTGATTTTTCATCATTCCCCTGACTTTTAGAGAAAGAAGACAGAATGAGGTAGAAACGCCCAGCACTTGTCAGCATGAGGGTCCTGCTTCCTCTCCTCCCACTCTGGGTCTCCATTGGCTCCCTTGTCTCCTTTCCCTTCCCATGCAGGAGAGGAGGCTTTGACCATGTACATGGACAAAAGTCGCCTCGACAGGAAGTCAGGGAATGCCACTCAAAGCGTCGAAGCTCTGCACCAGCTGGCGTCGTCCTACTTTGTTGACCGTGATGGCACCATGAGGAGGCTCCATGAGATCCAGATATCAACTGGAGCAATCAAGGTATGGCTGGACAGTGGACTTGGGTGGCAGGCTCTCAAGGCAGCAGCACTTCTAGGAAGACATTCTGAGAGCAGCTGGACAGATCCAGTTCCTGACTTCATGCCCATGTACTCATGGCACCCATGCCAACCTCTCTGACTGATGTGGTCACATGCTCTGTAGCTTCATGGGCACTGTGGTCTGGGTAGCCATGTGCACTGATGTAGGGGAGCACTCTGGCTCTGGCCATGGCATCATCAATAGTCCTCTGATTCAAAGAATCGGAAGATCTCCACATCCCATTTCTAGTTGAAGAAACTAAGCTATGGTGGAGTAAATGAATTTCTCAAGATCACATGGATAATAAAAGTCAGATACCTAGAACAACAATCTTTTAAAACGTTTGTGTCCTTCACAGATGGTGAAACTGGGGTCCATAGTTTGAGGCCTTTTGATCAGGGTTATACAGACGGAGAATACCTTAACGTGATTAGAACTCTCTAGGCCAGAGGTCAGCAAACATATTCTGTAAAATGGCAGATGATTAATATTTAGGCTTTGTGAGCCCCATGATCTCTGCTGGCCTTGCTCAACTCTGCTGTTATATCATAAAAGCAGCTGTAGACTGTATGTTCATCAAAGGGCTTAGGCTGTGTTCCAATAAAACTTTATTCACAAAAGCAGGCACAGGACACACTGTGGTTTGTGGGACCACCTTCTTCCACAAGGCATTGTTCAATATAGAACCTTCTAAGATGATAGACATGCCTATATTTTTATTGATTTGATGTAGTAACCATTAGTCACACAGGTTTATTGAATTCTTGACATGTGGCTACTGTGAAGTGAATTTTGTAAGTTTATTTACTGTTATTAATTCAAAGTTAAATAGGCATACTGGATAGAATAGCCCTGAACTTTCAAATCAGTGCCTTAGAGCATGGGGACTTTAAAAAAAATTATTTAAAATAAGATACATTCAGACACTATTCTATAAAGAGAGGTGGGAGGACATTTGTGATATAAAGAATTAGTTCTGAGGGTTTCAATGCAGATTTTTCCATCTCAAAATTTCTTAAATTGTATTATGCCTGCATTTTGCTTCTCTGTCTCCACTCTGACTTCTGAATAAAATGCAGTCCTAACCTTATATTAAGACTTCTCAAGATAACTCTTGGGGACAAAAGGTGCAGAGGGAAGGTCAAGGGGAAATGACAGATGAGTCAGAATTTGACCACAGGAAGGGAAATGTGGGMGGGAGAGAGTTATGGAGGAGGGAAGTAGTAAGGAGAGAAATAAATCAGATCCACAAACAAAGGGCTAGCTTATCTGAGGAGAATCACTTATATTGGGGGGATTATGTTGTTAGGAAACTCGGCACTGAGAGAGGGATCTTTATGAAGCCATCAGAGTCAGGGAGCTGCAAAGACCTGGTTTTCATTATCACCAAATAGTTCTCTGCCCCCTGGATGGGATGCGGAATTGAGATATTGAAGCTCTGTCAGAAGATAATCCTCTTTTGTGCATCCAGGAWGTGCAGTCTGCCTCCTTAGGAGGAATTTCTCAGACAAATTGCACAGAGTTCTCTCAAGAAACCATTCTGACACGAACACTGCCTTCCGCACTCAATTTGGACTTGGATTTTTCTAGCCATTTCTTGCTACTCTCCTAAGACCCAGTGGACTAGAAGTGTCTCATTACCAGATTCCTTCAAGGCCAGCCCCTGAGCCAGGTCAGGGGAGTTTTGCCTAGTTCTTTTCCTTCCCACCATGGATATCTTTAATTAAAAAATGGGTTGTTTTAACTATCACTTGATAATAACCATGTTATTATTCTGTTCAAAAATGAATCAGTCATTTGTAAAACAAAATAAAATCTGATTATCTTCCATTTATTTATTTTTTTTTTGCATCTTAAAATGCTAAACATGTCAAAAATATGATCTCATTACCTGTTTAGGTGATAAAAGCAGGGGTAACATCTAATAGCAGGGGAATGAGGCTTAGAAGGGGAAAGTTACTGATCAATGTTTCACAACTAGAAAAGGGCGAAGGAGGTACCTGTGACTGTTCCCCAAGTTGCCACTCTACAGTGGAGGCTGTCTTTATGGTTGAGTGCATCAAAACATATAGTGGAAAGTAAAGAGATGAAGAGGCCTCTTTTCAGACTAACCTTATTTCAAGGTTAGTTTTTGAATAACTGTTCTTCAATTGCCCATCACCTCATATTGTGGAAAACAGTGTCTTGGAGGTGCACAACCTTAGGATCAGGATGCTTTTCTCTTGCAGTGGCATTGATTGTTTGTTGCTCAAGTTTGTTTTGCAAAGTATGGATAATTCATTGTTCTTACCTGGTAATAATGTTTTATAGATTCCTTACAATGTATAGAGATATATTGTAATTAAATGCTCATTTTGAGCATTTGAAACTCCTGGCACTTACCACTCATCAMGTCTGTCTTACAGCTTCCCTAGAAAGCATTTGCTAAGTTTGAGTTTGCAGAAGCTTAGAGAAGTTAAATGACTTCCTTATGTCACACAGCAAATAAATGACCCAACGGGGATTTAACACTGATTTTACTGATTCCAAAGCCTGTGATTCTGTAATGTATATATAATGCTTCAACTTATTAGATAGACTACAGCATACTCACAGCGACCTTAGTTAGGGAGTGAGGGCCAGGGATAGAAACCAGGCCCTATGGCTCCAGGCTGTGTGCTTCAGCATCCTGCAACCCTGTCTGCTCTTTGACAGGAGAGATGTTGAGGTGACAGCTGTGACCTGAGGTCACAAGACCTATCTGTAGGCTGTGCTSCGCTGGGGAATGACTCTTCAGGGTCTGCCCTAGCGAAAGACGTCTGTCTCACACTTGTCTATTTGACATCCACTCTAGGTCACAGAGACACGCACTGGGCCTCTGGGCTGTAACAGCTATGACAATCTGGACTCTGTGAGTTCCGTCCTTCTGCAAAGCACGGAGAGCAAACTGCACCTTCAAGGTAGGAAACTAATGGGGAAGGTGGGGCCAGAGGCAGGGAGGGGACACAGCAGGGTTGTATTGTAGGGGAGGAGAGAGTCCAGTCCAGTCCAAGGGAGAATGAAGAAGAGAGAAATAGAACCAATGAAATAGGAAACCAATGGAAGCTACAGATATGGAAATCGGTTATGATATGATACAATCTTTTAGAATTTTAACATATACAGGGCTTTAAATTTATGGATATTAATTAGTTTTCAGATAGAACACATGGGGATATGAGCTTTATCTGGTTATTTTCATGAAAATGTCTAAACAGTATTATTTATAGATGCCCCAGATCTAATATATATTAAAATTTCATATCATATCATATGAATTTCCTACATTATTGTTTTTGATTTTCAGTGTGTTTTGGCAGGTGTTATTTGAATTTCAAGACGTATAAGACATTTTATAGAATTTCTGATTCTCCATAATTTTTTATTCCCCTTATTTGTTARTAATTTGTATTCTTAAATGAACACACACACATACACACACACACACACACTTTTAGCAGCTTAGAGAGTAAAAATATTCCCAGACTTGATTGTAAAGAATGCAAACATTGCAGGGATTGGTTTGTTGATGTTTGTAAATGTTTGTACTTATTCAATTGTGTGTTATATATCAGGCTCACGTCAGATGCTCCATGTGTGTTTATTATCTAAAGAAAATATACCCTTTACAATAGTAATTTAACTTTTTAATCCACATTTTAAAGAGGAGAGATGATTGCAAGGGAATAAAAATKAGTAGGATTGAAGTACAGATGGTGCTGTTTTAAGAAGCATAATTTATAATATTTAAAAGAAAYAATGTATACATCTCAATTTTCTACATGAGAAGACTGAACAAATTGTGTTGCATTCGTAAACAATTTTAGGCAGGTACTGAGATGTTATTTATTAAGATTTCTTTTCCTGAACATGTGAAAATGACTTGATATTAATTAACAAATGGAAGATTTATGATTGAATGTATGGTATCATCTGAACAGTATAAAAAGAAGAAAATTGATACTATAAGGAAGTATCCCAAAGTGTTAGAAGAAGTTACTGATGGTTAGTAAGGATATAGACAATTTATTTTAGGCTTCTAGTTTCTTTKCTAATTTTCCTACAATGATCATGTATTAACTTTATAGTCAGAAAAAAATGACATGCTTTAACTTGAAGCAGACTRAAAATGTGACCTTCCATAAAGGTATATGATAAAGGTGATTCTGAATGTCAGTGGGAGGAAGCTGGGTTGAGATTGACAGGTAGTGCTAAGCAGAGCCTAATATGACTTTKATATTCTGGTTCCTTGGCAACTCTTTGATTCATGCTCCTGTTATAGAAGATGCTGGGAAATGGTGCAGAGAGGGCTGGGGAGTGTCACCTGGGAGCCCCCAGTGAAACCCTCTCAGGGAAACTCAGCCATTGATAACTGTATAGTGTTAAAACATAACACAGTAGAACTTAACATATAGGAGTTGGGGGAACCTAACCCTTTAATAAAGAAAAGAGTAAACAGTATGGCGAGAATGGTTTGCTAATACCTGTTAAGAAAGTGGATGAGAAAGACAGATCTGCCCTGGATGTGGCAGGTTTTCAACATGGTGGTTTGTGTGACATCCACAACAACTTTGTGAAGTGAGATCCAGGATTTGATTCCAGGTTTTTTTGGACTCCAATATGTGTTTCCAGCATATTAATAATGGAGACATCWAAAAGTTACAACTGGAATAAAGTTAATAAGAAATTAGCAGGATGTTACTACCAAGGAACTTCCGGACATCTTAGGGACATTTAGAAAAGGCTGGTCTACCTTGATGGCAATGAAGTTTGATGTTCAGGGAGTTCTCACAATTTCTCATTCTAAGTTTGTATTGAGTTTTGTATTTAGTCTTGACTTTTTTTTTATTCCAAAAGCAACTATTGTATAAGAGTCTGTCCTTCAGAATGTGAATCTGCTCTTGGTTTCATTACTGTAACTATTCTAGCCACCATCAARATGGTGACAGCCTTTTCCTACTCTGTACTGGTCAGAGCACACCTGGAGAACTGGGTCTGGGTTCAAGCATCCAGCTTTTAGGGGGGGTGTTGAGAAACTGCAGTGTGCCTGGAGGAGGGTATCTTATGACAAGGACTGGTCTACTGATACTTGTCTTGCAGAAAAGACAGTTGGCTTCATTATTATGAATAAAATGTGCAAGACAAGCTGGTGGGGGAACCAGAAGGATCCCAGCTTTCAACTCAGTGTAAAACACATCTACCTTTCTTCTTCTTTTTTCCTCATGCTGGAGATTGAACCCAGAAGCTTGTAAGCACTGGGTAATTGCTACATCCTAGCCCTAAAATAACTAAAATAGAACATCTAATGCAGTTTCATGTCCAAAACCTGAGATGATCTGCTGTGTGACACAGTGACTCCCTCCTGTCTGGGAGTGACAAGTAGCTGATATTTGGTGAGAATCTTACAGAGTTTATTTAGGCAATGTTGAATTTGGGTTTTTGAATTAATGCAGATTCTAGGATTTTATGGTAATGATGATTCATCAAATCTTTACTGAGACTATGGGCCAAATCCAGTACTAGAACCTAGACATATGGTCACAGATCAGTTTAATTCAACAAATTATATATATATATATATATATATATATATATACACACACACACATATACATATATACATATATAACTAAATAAAATAAATTGTATGTTATAAATATATATATATATATATATATATATATATATATATATATATATATATATTAAGAATCCATCTTAGATAAAGAGGTAGGCAAAATGATAGTTGTGAACCGGATAGACATTATTTCTGCCTCAAAGAAATATAAATAGTATCGGAAAAGACAGACTTCAATCAATAAATGTAATGAATTTTAATAGAAAAGAAAATCAGTGTTATTGGTGGTACCAAATTTTATAAGGATATGGTTATATATATATGTGTGTGTGTGTGTGTGTGTGTGTGTGTGTGTGTGTGTGTGTTTTATTAAGGAGTCAAAAAAGTTTCCTAGGTAAAAATACAAAGAATGAGATCTGAGTGTTGAATGGGGGTTAGGGGCATGGATACAGAGGCAGATAGAAGCATATTTATCAAGGGTCATTTGAGAAAACTGAGGATCTTATGAGATTATAACAAAGGAATCAGTGGTGAGAAAGTCAAGGTTAACTTTCAAATTCACGGAGGCCTCTACAGCACATTAATGAGCTGAATGTTAATTTGGGATCTGTGGACATTTAGAAAGAGGAAGTAGTATGAATAGAATAGTATTTTGGAAGATTACTCTTKATTCTGTGTGGGCAATCATTTAGAGAGGGGAATCATTTAGTGACAGCGTAGGAGGTTACTGAGTTCTCAAGATGCAATGATACAAGTTTTGACCATGAAGTTAGCAGTTGGGGTAGAAAGAGAGAGACCAGTTCTAGAGATATTAAAGCCATTACATCAGGTTTCAATAAAAAGATCATGAAAAATGTAGATAATTGAGCGAATGGGATTTGATGCTGATAGTGAAGGTGGACAGGTAGATATCTATGATTCAAGGTAATGCATAATATAATAGGAAAAATGAAAGTAATACATAGAATTGTGGGAATTGAGAAAAGGGAGTAATTTATTCTCTCTGTCTAGGTGGAGGAGTTATAGAAAAATAGATGTCTAAGGAAGAATAATACTCTCCTAGTTGAAGGTAAAATATAGAAACTTTTCCTTAAGTACAAGACAGGAGAATATCTCATGGCTTTTGAGTATGCTGATATTTATTTAGTAGGATTCAAAAAATTAAGTATAAAGGAAATGAAAAAAGTTGGGCTATATTAAAAAGAGAAATGCTTGTCATCAAAATATAGAATGAAACTTACAGAAGGAATGCAATAGAACGAAAATGCAAATCATATAACAGAACAAAATATTTATCATCCATATATCTGACTAGGAAAACTTCTGCAGAATATATAAAGAACCCCTAAAATCAATTCAAAAAAGCATCAGAAAAGAAAATGGACAAAAGATATGAGCAGGTACTTCACCGAGAAGAATATGAAATGGGCAAGTAAATATTTGAAAAGGCACTCATCTTTCCTAGTCTCCAGAAAAATCTAAAGTGACATTAAAGAAAATAAAATCATGGTATTTGCAGGTAAATGGATGAAGTTGGAGAATATAATGCTAAGTGAAGAGAGCCAATCCCCCCCCAAAAAAGGTTGAATGTTTTCTTTGATATGAGGATGCTGACTCATAATGGTGATTGGGAGGGGAGGGGAGCATGGGAGGAATGGAGGGACTTTAGATAGGGCAGAGGGGAGGGAGGGGAAGAGAGGCGGGAAGGAATGATGGTTGAATGAGTTAGACATCATTACCCTAACTACATGTAGAAGACACGAATGGTGTGAAATACTTTGTGTACAGTCAGTAACTTGAAAATTATGCTTTCTATGTGTAATATGAGATGAATTGCATTCTGCATCATGTATAACAAATTGAAATACATAAAAAATCTAAAGTAATAGTACAATCTAGTATCAATCATAGCACAGTAATCAGTATGGCAAATGAAAACCACTGACAATATCAAAAAGGGGCCATGTGAAGCACATAACTCATGCCTATGAGAGCATGAGTTAGTTATAACCATTATTGAAAATTCTTGGCATTATGTACTAAAAACTACATATTTAATATTTAATCAAATAATGCTTTTAGAAGTCAATACAGAAGGAGTTAATGTTTGGCCTGGGGTTGTGGCTCAGTGATAGAAGTAGAGCACTTGTCTAGCATGTGTGAGGCACTAGGCTCAATTCTCAGCACCACATATAAATAAATTTTTAAAAAAGGTCCACTGATAACTAAAAAATATTTTTAAAAATCAGTTAATATTTGGGGAGAGAAATGGGGCAGTTACTTGAGGGGGATGTGCTAGTCACCTTGTCATTGCTGTACAAAATCCTTGTGAAAATCAACTTA